ATACATAAAATACAGAAATGAAATGAGGTGGAATGAATACTACAGAAATTTGCATGAAGGTTTCTGCAAAGGTAAATCTTGCTGCTCTAGGTCTGTTAGTAATGGTTCCCTGCAAAACAATGCATCGATAATGTTAAAAGCATACATGTATTTCCCGGGTCACGAATGAGCCTAGCTTACCAATATCCATATCACAATAATGAGACAGTTCCTATAGAACAAAAGTTCAGACTAACATCTAAAAATTAAAAGTTTTAGCTGTTTTAAAGCAAACGTGAAAAATAATCTTAAATGACTTGCCAGTTTGAACACATTTCTCATTTAGGAAAGACCCCTACAAGGCATATATTCATCAAAGCACAGCTGGAGCAGCTTCCGCTTAAGGCCCTGTCTTTGTTTCTGTGCACCCTGAGTTATGATCAGACAAAGTATTTTGCATTTAAGCTGCCAAAAATACACAACAGGGAGAGTCAACTCTGATATTCAGTTACAAATCACTCACATCTGAATTTTGCTCTCTGAGACTTTCCACAAGGTGCAATTAAGAGATGTGCACAACAGTCTGCATTAACTGCGAGAAGCACTCATCTCCTCAGTGAACCATTAGACGCTAGACATTAGAGTCTAGGAGGAAAGCACATTAGCTGAGATGTGAGCAAATGAGAAGTGTAGTGAACATAAAAAAAGTTATTTTTTATTTAAGTAAGAGTTGAAATTCAGTGGCAGTTTAGTAATTTGAGAAAACAGGTTTTAAAACGAATCAGTGAGCTTAATAAATTTTTAAATGGGTGAAGGAGGCTTTCCTGTTTAATATACGACTGTTCAAAGTGTGGCTGTGCCAGCAATAAGTAACATTTAAAGTTTGTGGCTATGTAGGAAGTCTAATGCACCTTGTAAACCTTATTGTTAAATGTTAATCGATATATTGTGTATAATCATATCTTGTTTCTGTGTCTCAGCAAAAGTGCAAGTTCTTTGTTTGTACATCTACCTCCACATGTCAGTATTAATATTTCCTCCCAATTCGATCCATACCTTTGCTTCCTTCATTTCATACTTGTTTCTTTCATCTCTTTGTTCCCACCAATTATTTGGAAATCAGAGGGAATGTTGAATCCTTTGAAGAGCGATTAAAAGTTTTTGACAGGCTGTGTTGCTCAGTTGGTGTTTTTCTCTTTTATCTGATCTATCTTGTGTTAATGACTCTGTGTCTCTGTGTGTGTGTAGGATTGATCATCAGTGTCCCAGGGGTTGGTGGGGATCTCCAACCTGTGGACCGTGCCACTGTGACACCAATAAAGGCTTCGATCCTGACTGTAATAAGACCAGCGGACAGTGTCAGTGCAAGGTAACCAGGAGAAACACACAAAGTACATACAACGATGTTGTGAAAGGTAGTAGAAATACGTTTTTTTTCCCCTCTGGGTGTGTCGGTTTCCTCTGGATATTCCTCCCATAGTCCCTAAGCTGGATAAGGTGTAAAGAAATTAGATGAATGGATGGGTAGTTGTTGTATTACTTAAATCCTGGAGCTGCTCAAAAAGTCATTACAACACATTTTGCTATGGAACCAAATATTTAAAATTGTCATGTTTAAAATTGATGCTGTTTAGATTAAAAATACCTAATTAGTAAATTGATCATCTGCAGACCACCCAGTAAACGCCTCTCAGGTTGATAGGCTATCCAGATGTATATATAACAGCAACCACGATATGTTGATCATCCATAGATATTGAAATTTCCGATCCGTAAATACACGCGTATTGATATACTCCTCTGTAGCTGCTATATTGAATCCTGTTTTATCTAGGCTTTAATCCTGAAGATAATCTTTAATCTGTGTGATCTCCCCTAAATCCACACCTCGTGACTACATGAAGCACACATGATCACAGATCGGGGTCCAAGGGTTAAATTGGGAGGTTTTACTGAACAATCTCTATATTGAATTCCAGCTGGCAAGTAGTGTGTAGGTGGCATAAACAATGAGTGTGTCGGAAATGTGGTGCCTTTTCTCTATAGCCGATCACCATGTTGATTTGACCCCGGACAAAGTAGTTAACAACAATTTAGATTCAATTTGAAGTTACTTTATTCTTCTCATTGTTGTGCTAACACAACAATGCTTTTATTTAGCCTACGTGCCAATCATGTCGAGGCAAGTATTGCAGTGGATATCTTAAAGTAAGGTTTAAAATGAGATCTTAACAGATTTATCTTTCTATACATTAACAGTTACTTTGGGAAATCCTTCAGAATTACATTAGATACACTGGTGATGCTGCACCATCATCCTCTAACCTGGTATTATTCTTGTCCTTACTGCAGAGTTAGGTCCCATTCACATAGGCCTAGACACTGGCTGGCAACCTGCCTGGCAACCACCAGTTGCTAGGGAAAAATGTATAATTCCCAACTAGATGCAAGTGGTTGTTGCAAGTAGCTGGCAGATGCATTGAAAACAACTACTAAAATTGCAGTGACACAGGCCTGGAGACTGGCGAGTGACCCAATCATAGTCTGTTGGGAAGATGTCTGCAACTTGTCTGCAACTACTTGCTAAGCTGTGAAGAGTGCAACGCAAACAGAAAGTGGGGAATGTTGTGTCTTTTGAAATGTGTTGGTTTCAGAGGTAAAGAGCCAGCTTTTGTTTTAAAGGTGAACATTCTTACTTCCAAGTTCCACTACCGCTTGATGGTACACAGACAATTCAGTGTCTTCCAGACTTGGAAGACAACAGACAACTTTGGCAACCTGCTAGCGATCAAAGCAATCACAAGAAAGTTTTGGTGCTGTAACAACCTGCAAACACTTGCCACAAATTGTTTCTAGAGACCAGGCGGGTCGTCATCTCTAGTGGTGTGTGAGGCAAAGGCATCAATATCCTCTGTATTCTCAAGCTGTGCAAACTAAATCATCAACTGTAATGCATTGATTGATGCTCTTCAACTCTCTCTTATACATGGCTCCCCATCTGATTCACTGTATAAATCTCACAGTCATGCACGCTGATGTAATTGTAACACGCTGATAGTTTGTACGGTTGAGACTCATGTGTCCGTCCATGTGTATATTCAGGAGTTCCACTTCCGTCCGCGAAACTCGGACACCTGCCTGCCGTGCGACTGCTACCCTGTGGGGTCCTTCTCGCGGGCATGCGACCCAGAGTCAGGACAGTGTCAGTGCAGGCCTGGCGTAATTGGTCGCCAGTGCAACTCATGCGACAACCCTTTTGCAGAGGTCACAAACTCAGGCTGTGAAGGTGAGAAAAAGAAGCAGGTCAACTGAGTTTGTAATTTGTGTTTGTTTATTTTTAGCTTATTTTCTTTAAAAAAAGAAAGAAAAAAAAAAGAAGCAAGCACCAGCGGGGGCTCTGAACTGTGTGTGTGTGTGTTTATTGTCATATTTTTGCATCTCACTGTTGCCTGTTGAGATTACTCCTGTTTACACAACAGGGGGCTACATCATTCATTCATTCATCTGCTGATGTGAAGTTCCGTATCATATCTGAGGCGTCACCGCTTGCGGGTGAAAAAAATCAAATAAATAAATAAAAAACTTCAGTAATTCTAAAAACTGCCTGAAGGCAATATTAGTGTGAGGGAGTGAATCACTCATAGAAAACAATTTGCTTTATGTTAAAAGTGTGTCACTGTCACAGCTCCATTGATAAAAACCAAGTAAATGAAAAAATCAGCTGCTTTTGTTCCGAGTTGGATTTAGTATTAAACCTTTTCTGCGAAGTCGTAGTTCCCAAAAGTTGTCAAAACAATTTCATCATCCGTGTATCTTTTGTGGGACTGTCAGTAGACTGGTGGCAAACTCCAGATGACTTTAAACAAGGTGTATAATTTTTAAGATGGGTTCAAAAGCCTTCAGACTAAATTATCTGTAGAGACAAAGACATGTGAAGGGCAATAATGAGCCACTTCTGAGCTTTTACCCTATTTACCTTCCATTGTGTAATCACAGGATTCCTGTTTCTCCGCTGTTCCATCTTTTTAAAAATGGTCATGTTTGTCAAGTCTCTGCCTGAGCCCGGGGACACAAAGAAACTGTTAATTATAGTCATCGTCTATTTAACAGCTTCCAGTTGATTCTCTCTCCCTTTTTCCCCTGTTCTGTGCAGCTTTGTCAGTTCCAGCGTCTCCACTTGTAATTACTTCTTTTAGTGAGACGCTGCTGTTTTATTCTCTACAATCATTTTCATTTTCTTCTCCGCAAGTCAAAAGAAAAACTTAAAAAAAAAAAGTATTTACATTGTGAGTCATATTTTGTCATGATTTTAAATGGAAAAGGTTGTTGAGCTGATAAGGATTTTAATTGGTGTTCTCTCTCCCGCAGTCATTTATGATGGTTGTCCAAAGACCATTACTCAGGGGATCTGGTGGCCACGTACCAAGTTCAACCTGCCTGCCGCTGTGCCCTGCCCCAAAGGCTCTGTCGGTCCGTATACATTAACACAAAGGCATTCAAACACATTGATTTTTCATGACAAATCATTGTGAGGAGACATTTAAAAAAAAATTCATGTTTCTCCTCTTTGCAGGTGCAGCCATTAGACACTGTGATGCGGAGAGAGGCTGGTTGGAGCCGGACCTTTGCAACTGCACTTCACCTCCGTTTGTGGAGCTCAGTGCTGCTGTACGTAGACCGCTAATGACAGTAATACAATAACTAATTCACTTTTTAACTCCATTAAAAGTTTGTTCTAAACATCTAAAATCTAAATTTCTCCTGCAGGAATATTTCAATTAAGTTTTTAATTTCATTTATTTAAAATAAACAGTAACAGGAACCAATATTTTTAATATGCAGCTGGAATGCTTTCTCAGAGATTTCCAGTTTAATTCCTGTCTTGAAGGAATTCTTCAGTCGGAAAATTATTCAAGGACAGATTTGCCTGTTGGACAGACAGCTGAAATGCTCACGCATGCAAATATGTCATCTGGCATTAAATCTCTTCATTCATTCAATAAATATTTTTCCCGCGTCTGGATGTTTGCGTAGCTCGATTCCCTGGAGCGCAACGAGACAGAGCTGAACACCATCATGGAGAAGAAGCTTGCCCACCAGCTCCGTGATGTAACCGAGGCTACCACCCGGCTCTATGGCAATGACCTGCAGATAGCTGAGCGGCTGCTGTCACGCCTACTTACATTTGAGACCCAGCAGAGTGGCTTCGGACTTACCGCCACCCAGGACGCGTACTTCAACGAGGTAAAAATTACATATTCTTGAAAATTCCTTTATACTCTCCTGTTAGAGTCTTTACAAAGACACACTCTGCTTGAGTCTGTGTATTTTAGACTGATGTATTGAGGATGCAGGTGTTGTGAAAAAAGGAAGACATTTTGCATTAACTGTTTACTGGTTCTTGATGATTCATCCTTTCTGATCTAAATCTAAGTGACGTCATGGAAAAAGTGTGGAAAGCAGCATTCACACAGACGATACAAACAATACAGCGAACACCATCATGAGCACTTCAAGGACAACTTCTAGGTATATTGATAAAATGCTGCATTTAGTGAGCAAAAGCAGGACTGTTTAAAATACAGATGAAGTGCAAGCTGTGAAAGGTTGTTGGAAGAATCCAGGTGTAAAAGTAAGGGGTGTTTTCATGTGTGAAAATCAAAAGTTTTTCTAAATCTCATTTTATTGGCAGCTTTTATCAGTATGTCAATACTGTGTATGTGTAACTTAACAAGCGGATCACTAAGGAAAGCGTCCAACTAACTACTCTAAATGACCTCGTGAATATGATGCGAAATTATTAATAATATCTGCTCTCTTGGTGCAAAATTAAATATTACAATAAAACATTAAGTTGTGAGTTAAAATCTGGAATGATGCAGACTTTGTGTTACTATACTCCTGCCGCTAGCAACTACAAATCTGCACAGAATCTCCCAGAGGACATAAAATAGCTGCTGTTATTTAAAACTCTAGCTATGATTGATACACTCTACTATTATGGGGTACAGACCCAGACTAGATATTACAACGAGATGTCTTTTCTCAGAAATTTGGAAGTAATGTTGCTATGGCGATGCGGTGACAGTAACTCATGAAGTATTGCAGCGCATATTAACTGACAGGATCTCGGTTTACCTGATGCCGACGCCTTCAGCTGAGGATGCACCAGCTGACAGGCAATAATTTAAAAATTGTTGGCATTCTGACATAAAGGCGGTAACCAGACATCTCTGTTTTATTTTGCCATAAATATTTAAGCTTATATATCAAACTCAGCTGACAAGGAATGAGCTGCTCCTGTTCCATACATCACGAGTAAGTGGCTGAAGAATCCAGGAATGCAGGACCCCCTCCTGCTAGCTTCAGCCTTCCAAACTGCTCGCTGACATGAAACTGACAGCTCACTCGCTTATAATACTTTACTGCGGTAGTTACACTTATTGTAATTCATGAGGTAAATTTAAATCGTAATTCCCGCTGGAACATTTTCTCTCCACGTCACTCAAACGGTTGTAAGAGTCGTAAAGTATAATGTGGGATTTCTGCTAGAAACAAGCGATTTTTCTCATGGTTATTAATTGAAACCTCACGACATTTTTCCCTCTTATGTCTTTAACTGATGAGTTGGCTCCTGCTTTTTAATGTTTCAGCCAGGGTGTGATTTATTCACTTTAATTAGGGACCTTAGTGGGCAATAAAAAGATGTATCTCTCTCCAGTACAGTATCCACAGCAGACAGCAGGATGCGATTCATAATTCATGCTAACAGGGAGGATTTTTAGCCACCCGATGGTAACCGTGAGCAGTAGAAAGTGAGTGGTTATATTTTATTCTCCCGTAGTCTGAGCACAAAATGTCATTTGTGCCTATTTAGATGTTAAAGTTCCGTAATGCAATCCCCCCCAGTGTTTTCCCACTGACATTTGCTTTGTTACTCCACTGATTCTGCATAACGCGCTTGAACTAGTCTGAGTTTAAGGTGCTGGTTGTTTGTTACATCTGAGCCACAAATCTAGTGGCTAGGAGACAGAAAGTGCACGGCAACACACTGGAGTAAGACTTCACCCTCCCTTCACTTTTCTTTCTTTTTATAAAGTCGTCTTAAACCTGTGTATGTGAATTTGTTGTGCCACTCAAAAGGTATCATAGCAAACACAGTCCACACACGCACACACAAACAGACAGTTGCTATGGCAACTCAGCAGCAGTATTAATGATGTCCTAGAGTGAGAGAAAACAAAAACCTTTTCCTGCCGTTCCTTTCATTTAACCTGACAGTAAATCAGAAACACGGCCATTAGGGCTTCGCGATTGGTTAGCTGGTTTGTAGTGTCACAAAGCCGCTATACGGTGTGTTGCCACATTAGCACATTAATGCCCGGCTCACCTGACTCGTAACCTCGGCTTCTGGCTGCAAAACAGTTGTGCTGCCTGCGTCTGGAGGTAATGAGGTAGCTTTTGGTTTATTATGGCATCACTAAAGGGAAGCTACAGGCCGCCCTCTTTTTTTCTTCTCAACAATAGAAAATTTATATCGGATGATACTTGACACAACATTTTAAACAACAGCAGCTATTAGGCCAAGATGAACAGGTAATGCCGAACACAGTTTCTATAGTAACCCAGCGGCGGTAATAGAGCCCCGTGGCTTCAGCAGAGATGAAGGGAAGCGGGGAGGAAAGTAGAGTTTTCACATCAGGTATGTAGCAGTGAACGAAAGAAGACAAAAACCTTTCATGTTCAAGCAATGATCAAATCCATCTGAATGCTGCTGTATGATAGGAGACGGCTGGGGCTCACATTTTGTCAAGTACGTGACAGCACAGCGACAGAATCTTTAAAATGTACTTGTAGTTTCTCTTAAATGAAGCGAAAGAAGCGCCGAAGAGCTGAATTGAAAAAGACAATTTTTCAAAATTGCATGTTGCAAAAAAAAGGTAGCCCCTCTTTCTCTCTCCGTCATCCATGCTGCCTTTGTGAATCTCTCTTTCTGGATTCCCGTCATCCGTGGCCTCTATACTGTTTCACTCTCCTTTTCTTTCCCCCCTTCACCCTCTTTCTTTTCAATAAAGTTTATATGGGCTCTCGCCGGGTGTTGAGCTCAAGAGCCGCCTATTTTCCAATTTTCAATTTTCCAGTTTTCTCTAAGTGCAGATGGAGGTTTAACTGGGCGTGCTTTCTAGGAGAACAGCAAGCATTTTCATTCAGAGGATAATTTATTCATAGCAGTCAGAATCTCTCACTACACGTACTGAAACATTTACTGCACAGAGGTCATCTTCAAAAGTAGTTGTAGTCACATACAGTTAATGCTGTACGTGACTCGATAGCCTCTAACGGATGATAAGAAGGGAGCACAAGAAACTAGAACGATGCCATTTTTATGATACCGTCACATTGTTCATTTTGTCCTTTCTCCCACCTCCAACAATCCTTTTCTTCACTCTATTTTTCCATCTCATCGCAACTTTCCACCTCCCTACCTCTGTGCCTTCTGCCTGTGACTTCTCATCTCTCTTATTCTCTCTTTTTTCTCCTCTTTTCACTCACTCACGCACAAATTCTCTTCTTGAATCTTTCTTTATCTCCCCCAACAATTCATGCATTCTTTCTATGCTGCACTGCATGTACTTGTACCTTGTTTGCCTGACGGTTGTGTCATATGTTATTTTTTCCTTTCTTTTCTCCCCAGAGCAATATATTACACTGCAGTACTTTATTAGGTCTGACTGCAAGGGATCCTCCCTGTCTCTCTCTTTCTCTCTTTTCCACTGATATTTCTCTTTGTTCAGCCCTTCTTGCAAGGCTGTGCAGTCCAGACTAATCTCTAAGAGGCTTCCATCCATAGTCACCAATTCTCCGTAAAAAAGCAATGACATGGGAGCACTGACAGTGGTGAAGCTTGTTCTAATTGGGGTCAGGACTTAGCTTGGATTTTTTTTTATCACAGTTGTGCTCAAAGCAGCCAGACAAACGGCGTGACGATGCAGCGTACTTCTCATCTGCTCAACCAGAACCAGATTCTCATGTTCTGACCTTTAATTCCTCGTTTCTCTCCCACTCTTAAACTTGATTGTCTGAATTGTCTCCCTGTGTGCCTTCGCCGTCTCTTATTTCCTCTATCTTTTGTCTTTCCTCCACAATTTTGTGTTTTATATCATTATGCAGTTAAATTTGAAATTGTGTTTCATTATTTATCTTTAAAAAAACAACAACATAAAAAACAAAAACAGTGCTACCAGCACAGGGACACCTTTATAGATTTGATTTATGCTTTTATAAAGACATGCAGGTTTTCCCACAGTCAGCTTGGCTAAAACTAAACGTGATCCTGCCTGTTTGCTATGTTTAATGTAAAGTCTTCAATACTGTAAAACCTTAAATTAGTTTCCTTTATATAACTTAGGTGTAAGGTGTAGGTGTATCAGTATCACTATAACAGTAATTTTGTAGGAATGGGCTATAAATGTTTTTTTTTAAAATATAGAGAATATAAATTATTTATTTACAGGAGATCATACAAACAATGTCTTTCAGATGCAATGTGCACCTCACAAAAAAGGAAAGAAAAATAAGAAAATATTAAAATGTTTGTCATAACCCAACCACACGCCAAAAATACAACAATACAAAATGTGTTTATTCAAATAATTATTCATTAATGAAAATATGTTTGGTGCAAACTGAATGTATACCAATCAAATTCCATTAATGTTTCAATGTTTCACATTGTACTTATGTAAAAAAAATAAAAAAAATAAAAAAAATAATTGACTTCAAATCTTGGGCATACCCAGGACATGCTGGAGTGATTTCATCCCCTGGCTGGCCTGGGAAAGCCTCGGTGTTCCCCTGGATAAGTGGAAGAAAATGGATGGATGGATGCATTTTGGGCAAAACATTTTTGAGTGCAGTCTCAGCAGGCTTCAAGTAGTATTCCAGTCATATGCAAACCAACATAATCTGTTCCCTGAAAGTCTCAGAACTACTCCGGTATAACAGACGTCATCAGAGGATTCAGTGTTGTTAGCAGAAAACACCATAGCTGGTTGTCCTCTGTCCACAAGTCAACTTTTATTTGAGTCTTTAACCAGTGTTTAAGCAGCTTTCTGCCTCCGTGTGGGACCAAAGAACATATATATATTTTGTCACCGTCCACAGTCTCAGACCGATAATATTTAACATTTTTTAACGGTTGTTATTAACTGTGAAGCTCGTCTGTCCTCGAAGACAGTGCAGCGAAGCACCTCCTAAGAAGCCATGATACTTTTATGGGCTGTTTTTCTGTTTTTATTTCTGCTTTTATTAATTCTTTATCCTTCTGCTGGTGCCAGAACGTCCTGCGAGGCTGCAGTGTGCTGTTGGGTCCGAGCACCTCTGGGCTTTGGCGTGCTCTCGCTCAGAGTCAGAACCACATCCCAGGCGGCGGTCCGGGAGCGCTGACGGAGCTACTGGAGCAGTACGCCAAGAATCTGGCTCAGAACATGAAACTCACCTACCTCAACCCGGTGGCGCTGGTTGCTCCCAACATTGGTGAGTTTGGACTGCAGATGCAGACATGCAGACACAATACAATAATTAATCACCGATCACACCCCAAAATTAAACGAGACAGTAATGAAATCTCAATCTTTGCAAATGATATGCTTCAGTTTTCTCACAATACTGTAAATCGCTGCTGTGAAATCAGCGATAATGAGTCATTGTAAAGCATGGGGATGAACAGCACTAATGCGAGTGATGATGATGGCACAGCCAGAATGTTGGCAGCACCACAGAGAGATGGATTTCACACTCCCACTCAGACAGCAGCTAATGCTTTCAGCACATCCACAACCCCCCCGAAGCGCCGCAGCACTGGCCAACATACATCATCTACATATACAGATGCCAGACAGACACATGCATCTCACACAAAAAACACATACACGCTGGCGTTTAACATCACTGGACATGCAAAGCTCCTAAGAGTCAAGGTTATTAAAGTTTCATTTAGTTTCTGCCATCCCTTCACTTGTGCTTTTTGCTCTTATCCACATTTTTCTGTCACTTTCACAGTGTCAAAAAATGCTGTTAGATAATCTGCACCGCTTACAACAAGACGAGGTGTTGAAGTGGCAACAGCAGCAGCAGCTTTGGCAGGGATCAAGCCAGTGACAATGAATTTCACACTCGGTTAATGCTCTTAACTGCACACGCCGATTGAATTCCTTCAAAATACTTTGCACCCAAAAACTCATCAAAGTATCCAGCTGCTGAATTTTGCCTCAGCAGCTTCTTCTTGTGTACCTTTGGTCACACAGTCACTGTAATCTCCTCATGACGTACCTTTGTTGGCTAATATTGACTTACCACTTGAACTTCTATATGTTTGTGAATCTCTTTGTTAGTTATACCTGCGTTTGCTCTTGGATTCTTTCAAAATCCAGTTATTTAACTCTGAATCGAAGCCGAGGCGACAAGCACAGAGCAGCAGTGAAGGCAACACTAATGAGAAACATGACTGACGCAAATTTTTTCACTCCAGCAAACACACAAACACGTGGCTGATGCTCCAAGCTAAACGGGTAAAAATGAATAACATGGGAGAGGACGTGGACGAACTTGATGGGTTGTCAGCCTTCGGTTAATTACGATTTTTGCTGCTTTTGTTGATGATGCTGGCAGTAAAACCCCATATTTGCAATTTCTTACATTTTATTTAACAAATAAACCACTCTACATGAATATTATCGGATAAACTCTCATGCCTCTCACACCAACAGATTGATTGCTGTTTGCTGGATCAAATGTTTCGTCGTTATTGAACGCTCCATGCTGACGTACTTCCACTCTGCGTGCGTGTTTGGGAATTTTTATATTCTCTCGCTACCTAATGATTCACTAATCCATAGGGAAAAAAATATTGTTTAATGACACAGCTAAAAATGACAATTGTTCTATGACTGAATCAAAGAGGAAAAGCTAAACTTAAATAAAACAGACAAATCAAGTAGCTGTATGAGCTGTCTCGTATTACTTTTACTGACTCAAGGTCACACGGGTCTGGCACGCAAGCTGCTTCGACGCTTAATGGCACAGAAGAAGATAAGAGTGCTGGTTGGGGCTGCACGATTATGGCTAAAACGATGATCACAGTCCTTTTGTCCAATATTGAAGTGAATAAACAGAACACTGGTTCAGCATCTTCACATCTCTACAAATCTCTGCACAGAAACAAAATTTTTCCTCCTCATTTCCTTAAATTCAGTGCAGCTCTTTGAAGATTTTTTTTTTTTTAAAAACTGTACCAAAACACAAAATTAAATCAAGAGGTCATATTCCTTTTAATCTCTTTAAACTACCATTTGCAGACAAATATGTGTTTGTACATATACATCATTCATTGTACCTGCATGGTGGATGTGAATAAAACTCATATTGCCTTTATAAAATAATTAGGAAAATACCATATCGTTTGTCCAGTGTGTCGACAATGTTATTGAAGCCTTCGTTACTCTTAATGTCTTCGGCCGTGTTGGTGATTTCAGTTGGTCAGTGTGAGCTGGATGGATGCACAGGCTGCTTTTATGGATGTATGAGCTGATGTTGAATGAGCCGTGTCAGCAAGCATTGCCTTGTTTTCTTTGTCCTGCATTCATCATGCTGCAGTTTGCGGTGTTTTTCCAGGGGGTTGAATGTTGATTTGAATTTGAAGTGAAATTTGAATTTCAACGTAGTGTTACTCATGGGTGCATGGAACAGCTGTGGTTGGCACATGCAGACACACGGTCAGGCACTAATTTAGGGGGCGCTTGATTTGCTTTTGCTTTGTATTTTAATTGGCAAAGCAGTGTTAGATGGTCATATATGTCCAAATTTTGAGATAATGAGGTCAGCATATGTAAAAGTAACCCATCAAGCTTCTGATTCCTCTAATTTCTTGGATTCAGTTTTTTTTTCCTACTTTTTTTCCTAGTCAGTTGGCTTAATGTTGGAGAATATTCTTGATATAGTTTGTGTACTAAGAGAAACATCATGGGTAGTATTGTTAAGAGACAGTTTATCCCAGAATGATTTCAGGGTTATTTTCAGGTAATGACCCAGTGTGGGGGTTCTTTCATTATTATTCTTCTTGATGGATGTATTTTTGTAAACTGGACAAGTTTAAGATCAGACACTTTATTTTGTACACAACAGTGACATGTTTTTGAGGTGTTCATGAGGTGTTGTAGAGAGCACAGTGTGTTCAGTTCTGCTCCAGTTAATCAGCCATTGCAAAAAGTAATATGCAGTGTTGGTGGTTTTTTTTAACTTATTATTTTTGTTAAAAGTAATGCAGTATGTTACTTAATTATTTGCCAGAGCACATAAAAAGTTACACTACTCATTACATTACTTTCTCCTACACAAAGAAAATTTTAAAACAAACCCAAAGAGACTTCAAAATATTCACCACAGTGAAATATGAGCAGTTATAAATGGAGGCTGTAAGCCGGACTGCCCATCACTGTCTTTGTTACGTGTTGATGATCAAGCTCTGGCTGCTGTACTGGGGTCAGCATGCACTCAGGTTTATCACCAGTTTGGGTTCTTGGCTAGCTTTGTGTTAGCGTGCTATTTGTGTTACTTTGTAGGCAGTTGTTTCTCTCTTAGATGCAAGTAAAAGTAATTTCCATATCTCTGCTGGTAATCACTTCACTGTTTTTCTCCTGCACACGAACTGAAAGGAGCTCATTTTAACGCAAGTGGACAGGATGAAAAAAATGTGTTTGTTTGAGGAGTTTTTCCTTCTGTCCATTTGTCCACAGCAATGCATTACATTACTGTGTTACTGAAAAATGTAATACAATTACAGTAACATGTTTCTTTGTGACATGCGACACCCAAAATATGGTGAAATAGGAACAAGAAAAATTGGTTTGCTGTGATTGTGACACTTTGACTTATAAAGGTTACTACAATGAGCATAGCTTAAAATCAGGATAAGGACTATATTTCCACTTTTTAACATACTTTTAAAATCAGAAAGCGAATGCATCACTGCTGCTATCTAAAGTGTAAGATACATGTTATTTTAACCAGTCATATTATGCTAATGTAACAACATAATTACCCTAATTACCCAACATTGGTGGGAATTTCATCCAAAAATGTGTTTTTATGTGTCTGTTGCTGCATGTTTATTCATCAGTTATGAACCTGGACCGCATGGAGAACCACACCCATGTGCGGAGGCGTTTCCCACGCTACCACACCACCCCGTTTCGTGGTCAGGCTTTTTGGGATCCCTATACTCATGTGATACTGCCCCCTGCTGCCCTGGTGCCACAACGGCAGCGGCTGCATAACTGGAAGGAGAAGGAGAGGACGGAAAAAGAACGTAAGAACAGACACACACACTGAATAAAAACCTTCAGAGTGTTTCGGGCTAAACCCAAGAAACATATTCTGACTCAAACTTTTCAGTTTCAGCCTCAGATCCTCAAAACACCGCTTCGGCGCCTGTCAGTATCTCGGCCAATCAGACAGGAGAATACACTGCGGCAAAACATACTGCTGCGTTGCCTGAGCCGCCCATAACCATCGTGATCCTGCTCATTTACCGAAGTCTGGGTGCTGCCCTTCCTCCCAAGTACCACACAGACAGACGAGGAGTGAGGTGGGAATCTGAAACGCACAGAACACTAAAGAAAATCTCATTACTGCAACTCTAAAAACTTCTCATGATTTATGCCCGTATGTCTTTGATTTGGTGCTAATCAGTCTGCAAAAATTGCTTTTAAATAACGTGAGCATCACATCATTAAATATGGATCATTATCTTTCAATTCTAGCATCAACATGCCGGGATTTTACATATATATGTGTATTAAAAAGATCCAATGACGATAATTCGTGCTATTGATCATTTAGTCTCCAAAAGTGGGAAAAAAAGGTTGAAAAAGATCCATCACTGAAACCCAAACCCACATCTTCAGGTTGCTTGTTTTAATGCGCAACCATGAAAGACACATATGAAACACGCATCACGGTATCAGATGTTTGCAAGTAGGACATGTTTGGCATCTTTGCTCAATAAATGATTAAAAGAAGTTGTGGCTAATTGAATTCATAGTCATATGAGGAACACTGGTAGGTCAGCAGAGTATCTGCATCAGGACTAATTCCAGCGATCTTTTCTCTGTTTTAATCATCCTGCCTTTACTTTGTTTTCTCTCTGCTTCCCTTCTGCTGTCCCCCACTTCTCCTCTGGGCCTAATTACCGAGTAACAATCTGTCCACTTCTCAGTTGGTGTCAATAATCAGTCATTTGTGTCTTATCTGGTTTACAAAACACTTCTTTTTTTCGGTTTGTCTCTTTTTTTGCTTACTGTGTCTCTGCCTTTTTTAGCATCCTAACCAGGATATCAAACTCTGCTTTCTGTCTGATCTGGAGGATGTGTTGTAACTTCTGTACTGTCTCTCCTTCAGGCTTCCCAGACATCCAGTAATGAACTCCCCGGTGGTCACTATCTCTGTCTACAACAACCAGACGTTTGTGGGCGGACATTTAGAGCAACCCATCTTACTGGAGTTCAAGCTGCTAGAGACGGCCAATCGCAGCAAGCCTCTGTGTGTACAATGGAACCACAGCAGCCCGTGAGTACATAACATGCGATGTTTCGCACTGTATTGATACTGTCGATACTGAAGTCCAGGGTATTGCGGTATGTCACTGCGTGATTAAAAGATACACTACTGTGTAGAGTTTGGAAATATCAAACTGTCATTTTTGAAATTTGCTAAATGCAAATATCTTAAACTTCAGATTTGAAGTTAATATGATGACTTTGGGTTTTGTCTTGTTGGCTTTAAAATATAAATATATCTTTATTCAGACTTTCTTGCACTGCTGTTGAGGCAGCTGCTAAGTGTCCACTGTTGTAAGTCAGGATGCACAAGAACAAGAACTAGAAATGGTCTGTCGAACACAGAGGGCTGAATCCAAAGAAACCCAGAAAATAAGTAAATAAGTAAAAACTTGTGCAGCAGGCTGGTCCATTGTGACAAAATTTCATTGCAGGAACTCAAAATGATATTCAGTAGTTTGTTTGACCCCCATGTTCTTTGATGTGGGGGGCTGACAATGTTGGGGCATTTTGTAGCTCTGGCAGTTCTCATTCTATTCATTCTATACGTCCTTGCACAAAGGAGCAGATACCGGTCCTGCTGATAGTAACTAGTAACTATAGTAACTCCTGGAATCTCCTCCATGTTCTTGAGACTGTGCTGGAAACACAGCAAACTTTCAATGGCAATCGCACGTATTGATGAGCCATCCTAGTTGGCCTACCTCTGTAGGCTCAAGGTATCGCCTCATCCTACCACTAGTGACACTGACTCAAGTCAAATGCAGAAAAAACAAAAATTAAGAAAGAGTCAGAAAATATACCAATATCCTAGAAGTTGAATTAGCCTGATCATATACACTGATTAAAAAGTATTTTTTAATCAGCACATATAATGAAGCCACACCTACTATCTTTACCACAGTAGAAACTACCATACTAAACCATTATAAAATTAGATTTGATTTGATATACCTTTATTAGTCCCACAAGGGGAAATTTCATAAGGCTGCCAACCTATTGCACACAATGGCGGAGCCATCTTACCCTCCGACCATACATACATTACACAAAACACCACATGGGGAAGACAGGTCAGAGAGGTATAACAATGGAAAATGCACCACATGAGAAAAGATAAGGAGAAAAAAATAACTCCCCCCAGGCTGAGCTCCAACAGGGAGATCAGTTTGAGAACAGAAAAAAACACCTCTGCACATAGCACATGAAAAAACTCTTAACACACCAAAGAAACACATGAGAAGCAACAGGGGTGGGTAAAGGGTGCAGCATCGGAAGGGAATAAGCGTCGAAGGCGTATGGAAAGGGAGGGGGGATGAGTGTGTGCATATCAGTGTATATGTATGTGTGTGCGTGTCCAGAGTTCAGCTGAGACAGTGTCCTTTGCCCTGCTAGGCTAAGTAAACAGTCTTCCAGCCAACCCAGGTGGCCTTGCATGGAATGGGAAGGAACAGACTAAACACAGTCGTTATCAGGGTGTTTTGTTCAGCTCCGGCCTTGAGACCGCAGCTGGCGCCAAAGGGGTATCCGCATAAGTGATGGTGGTTTTTACTTTAGTGCGAACAGCTCATATGAATTTCAAAGCAGTTCTACAGTCCAACACTGGTCTCTCAATCTCCCGTTGGAGAGCCGCGAGCTTCGCCATACTTGCGTTCTGTGATGTTGTCATTTCATGTGCTCAAGGAGCCGATTCTGAGAACTCACGGCAGTGTGCCTCCCCGAGATGTCATCCAATTTGCGCCCAGAGATGTTATTCCGAGCTAGCCCTTCCGAGATGTATCCAGTCTGCAGTCAGAGATCTTATTCTGAGTATTCACAGCAGCCGTAGCCTCTCCAAGATCTTATCCGTGCTGCACTCAATGAGCCCATTTTGAGAAACTCACGCCTCTTCCCATCGTTTCTATCCCAGCGGGCAGCCTTGTGGGGGTTTGAACAGCCGGTTCCGCTTTCTTAATTCTTCGATAAGTCAGGGCCAAGCCAGCTCCGATCCGCCAGAACCCTGTTACCATGGTTCCGAATAGGTAGATATCTTCAGCACTCAGGCTCACCCAAGCCCAAACGTCTTGTTGAGAAAGGGGTGTCAATTGCATTTAGGGACCAGTTGATCCAATCCATAATTCCTCTTTTAGGTTTTAGAGAACAGACTGTGAGAGAGTGTTCCAGGGAAAAGTAATACAAAAAACACGAGACTAGACAAGGACATAAGAGGCTAAGCAGGGAAGCTAAGGGAGAGGAGGAGGAGGAGAGGAGAAAAGTAAAAGTAGACGGGAGTGCCTGATCTGCTTTTAAAATACACTTTAGCCAAAGGATTATTTCAAATGCTCACTGAACACCTTCTGACGTACACATATTTGACACAGAAGTCTAATTAGCAACTCAATGCGTTTAGGTATTTAGACGTAGTCAAGATGACCTGCTGAAGTTTAAACTGAGCATTAGACTAGTGAAGAAAGATGATTTAAGTGATTTTGAACCTGGTGTGGTCTTTGGTGCCACATGTCCTGGTCTGAATAATTCAAACTGTTACCTACACAACAGGATGAACTAGGATTTTAATAGAAGATGGTCCAAAAAAGAGAAATATTGAGTTAGCAGCAGTTCTTTGGGTGAAAATGCCTTGAGGTCAGAGGAGAATGGCCAGACTGCTTTGAGCTGACTGGAAGGCAAAGGTATCTGAAATATCCACTCACTGAAAGAAAGGTACACAAAAGAGCATCTCTGAATGCACAGTATGTCCAGCCTTGAAACAGATTTATTTAACCTTTATTTATACAGGTAATCCCATTGAGACTCAATGTCTCATTTAGAAGAGAGGCCGGTTTCAGACAAACAATAAACGATGGCCTGCGGCGACAGATGACCACACCCAGTGGGTGCCACTCCTGTCAGCTAAGAACAGGATATTGAAAGGATAGACCCATCTTATAGCCTTGGATCAATGTTTCAGGCTGCTGCTGCTGGTGTAATGGTGTGGGATATAGTCTTTGCACATTTTGGCCCCTTAGTACCAGCTGAGGATCATTTAAACATCACAACTTTCTTTCAGTACTGTTGCTCACCACATCCATCCCTTTATGACAACAGTATATCCATCTTCTGATAGCTGCATCCAGCGGGATAAAATGGTTTTGGGATGCGTTGTAACAGGAGATGTGCAGCTGAAAAATCTGCAGCAGCTATGTCAATATGTATGGAAATATTTTTATGTCATATAAAATGCGTGAGCAAAAACTAATCAGAGCAAATGATTTAATTTCACAAGAGCAATTAAATTCCTCGCGTGTAATCTCTGAGGAATGTTTCCAGCACCTTGTTGAATCTGTGCCACAAAGAATTACAGCAGTTCTGAAAACAAAACAGGGGTCCGACCTGGTACTAACAAGGTGTACCTAATAAAGTGTCCACCGAGTGTTGTTTTGAGTGCACGTGACTTCTATTAATTATGAAAAACTGACACATGGGCAGCAGCAGGACATCTTTCTTGAAATGTTGCTTATTATTCCGTCTCTGTCCCTGCAGGTATGAGATGGGAGGTTGCTGGACGGTGAGAGACTGTATGGTGGTGTACAGAAACACGTCTCATGTGCGCTGTCAGTGCCAGAGACTGGGCACCTTTGGCGTGCTGATGGACAGTTCGCAGAGAGAGGTTAGTGATCAGTCAGTCAAGAGCTACTTACTTTTAATCAAGATAAATCAAGATAAGTCTTAATCTTCTCTCGTTCCCTGACCCTTTCTGTAGTAATCAAGCATTTCCCTTAAGTGAACCTTTTACTTCACCATGTCTGCCACTTTGCCCCTTTTTTCATTTAACAGTGTCAGCTGGCAATTGCCCAGTTTGAAGAAGGGGAAAAAATGTCTACAAATCCTGACTGACATTCAGAAGGCTGAAGAAAGGCCTTGTTACAGTTGTAGAAGATTTTCACAGCTTAATGTAAAACCCCTTACCCACCGCTCCCAAGCATACTAAGTGTGTCAGATTTCGAGAAAGGGAGCGTGTGGAATCAGAAACATCATTGTCTTGACGATTTCCATTTCTCCAAACTGGAAACAGTTATATAAGATTAAGTAATTCATCATCATTAGTCTGGTAGTATGGTGGGGTATCTTATTCTCACTCACTTGAGATGCTGCAGGGAAGCTCAGTTTGCCCAAATGAAATTCTGGTGGTGTCTGCTATGTTTGCTGGCAGCAGAGGCTTCCAGAGGAGGCAAATGCACGTGCTGAATTGATTTTATACTCTAGTTTCTCCTGACAGATAAGCTTGGTCTGCTAGCTAGCTTTTGTTTGTCGTCTGATTCCTCTGTTTTTTTTTCCTGACTGCTTCAAGAAAAATATATTTTTTAGATGTTTTTAATAAAGGGATTTAATCATGTACTTACCTTTCATTAGATTTCTTTTCTATAGATCGCATACTTGGTTGTCATATAAATATTGTCAGTTCACACTGACGGCAGACAGGAGAGTTCAGATAGAGATGTTGCATTTCAATGCAGTTGTAACGATTCATCTTCTTGGATTGAAGTTTCTTTTTTCAACAAGTTTTCTCCCTCCTCTTCCTTTCACCCCCCTCCTTTGCATCTCTCTGTGAGTAGCAGTTGGAGGGCGACCTGGAGACCCTGGCCCTGGTCACATACTCTTCTTTGTGCGTCTCCATGCTGGCGCTGCTCCTCACTGTCCTGGTGCTCTCCTGTCTCCGGGGCCTGAAGTCTAACACCAGGAGCATCCATTCAAACACAGCGGCAGCCATGTTATTATCAGAGCTGGTGTTTTTGCTTGGGGTCAATCAGACTGAACAACAGGTATGTACTGGCAGGGGTGGGCTTTCTGCATCCATCTTTTTTCTGTTGCCTATAGCTTTAGTTCCTTTTTTCACACCACTGCACAGTCAGTCACCACTTTATCCAGTGTACAGTCATGGTAAAAACAGAGTCTAACTTCTGTCATATCTAGATAGTGATGAACAGAAAAGTTATCATTTATTTAACAATAACGGAGCCACGTTGCAAAAGCACTGTTAGAAGACATCATTTTCTGTCCTACTTTGTCAATCTTTCACGTTGTTGTGGAGGAGTTTACTACTCTTTAGAGCATTGCTTCAGGTCGTTGAGGTTTGCAGACATTTGTGTATGTACAGCTCTCCTAAAGTGGCACCACATTTCAGTCAAGGTGAAGTCTGGCCTTGGACTCAGACATTGCAATACTTGGATTCTTTTCTTTTTCAGGCGTTCTGCTGTAGTGCTTGGGATCATTATCCT